ATATATACTTGAAATACTAAACTGAAGAGTCAAATAAAGTCTGAAGTAATGATTTTTATGAGAAACAAATTATGAGAGACTTTTTTCCAGTCTATCAATTTTAGTTGATTCAAGAATATGACTTAAAAAAACTAACTTGTCGTGATTTAGAGATGTAAGCCTAAGTGGATCGTAAAAATTAACTCCCCATATAAAAATTGCAAATAATTGACCAAGTCGCGAGTCATACCTCATCATCAAATGCACTTCAATGAACAACCTTAAAAGCATGTGAAGATATTTGTTTTATATGTTCCAAGTCAATAACGTTTAACGCTGGTATATAGATCATATAAATTGAACTGCCTTTATGATTAGGATTGTCATATAATACCCATAATATTTGGGGATGTATAATTTTACATACTTGCCATTTCTGTTTTGCATTGTTGCGTGTGCAAGATTAATTTGGAATAGTCTTATTAACTTAAATTTTACGGTGAGTTAAAAGATAGGAATACATATGATCAGAATACATTTCATGATATCATGATATAAAATATCTCTTCTTGCACTCATTCTCATATTCTCATTTTATTAATATTTTTTAAATTTGCACCAAGAGTATTCACTTTGTTGTGAGTTTGTTAGGGCAAGTAAAGCACATATTTAAACTTGTTAAAATTACAAGAAAAGCGGTGAGCAACTCAACTCCAAATGAGAGTTATTAATATCAATGACGTGCACCATCGCGTGATGATTTTTTGAGTAGTGCCACTGGCACAAGATGTAATTACATATGAGATTATTCTCTGATCAAGCATAACTTTTTAACAACACACATCGCGTTTATATTTCTTTATTTTATAATACTATTTCATATTATATTCGCCATGGGAAAACAAGAGAGTAATGCTTATATATATTGACACGAAAATCGCGCATCCGTTGATACGATAAGGACTTTTTCGATGGTATTATTCATTTTTAGATTGCACTATAGAAAAGGCAGTTTAATTTTATTGTAATCAAATTTAACAAATCAATTTGCTACTTTTTGTAGTCTTCTGTGAGTCGTTTTATCGCTGCTTGATCGAAAGAATTTAATTTAAGCACTGAAAATCTATATATTTCGCAACATAAGCGATGTTGATGTTGGTGTCGATGACTGAATTTGAGACAACACTTTAATGTTTTATTCAAATTTTAACCTTTACGATCAAAGCAAGTAAAAATAGGACTGTGGTAGAAGATTATCTCGATATTGGAATCAAACTACCTTAATGATTTTAACTTTTTCAAGCGATTGCTGACAAGGGGGTTCAAGAAATATGATAACTTTGCATACTCAATGCTATGTCAGAGTCAGGTGTCCAGTTCATTTACGGTTTGGTCATGGTATTGAAAAAGTGCGTAAGACTTTCCGAAAATGCGATCTATATTTGCAGATCGATTCCCAAAAATAACTCGAAGTGGTTGTTTTTGTCGACATAAAAATCAAACGGATGTCATTTTTGGTATAAATAGCAAATATGGTAAACTAAATCAACTGCAACGATACAAACAATCAAATTTAACTATTTCTTACTAAATGGATTTGCTTTCCCATGACACTCATTTTTTGTCCATTACTGTTTTTATGCGATACCCAAGAATACGTTTTACGCTGTCCACGCTTATTAAATTAATAATAATAACAGAAAATCTTCGGGGCCATTGCTTGTGATAAGTAGCGAGTTTAAAGACCGCTCATCAGACCAACCAGGATAAAAATCAATGATGTTTAGGTTGGTATTTGATCTATATTATTAGGGAACTTCTTGTTCCTTCCAAGAATAAGAAAATACCGCCATTGTATAACAAAATAGTAACCTTATCAGATATCAACGAGGATTATACATATGAATTTATTGATGTAGTTAGTATTCGCACCTAATTTTAACAACTGTCTCACACACGAATTCAAACCGTCGTAAATATGAGATAAATTAAAAGTTCACGACTGACTCCACAGCTGCAGCAATTGCTTTCGTATACAAAGTTGGGTATGTTACATACTGCAATCTAACTTCAATACATATTACTGACCTTGGGCGTAACCAGGAACTTTGAGAGAGAAGTTCTGAAATTTATAATTCCCAACCTAGACCGTAATACCTAGCGGGTCCGGCCTGAATCTTGAGGGTCTAAAATAGTTTTAAGCTACGAATGCTATCTATGATACAGAAAAATGCCTTTTTCTACATTTCCAGTGATAGTGATATACAATAGAAATCATTGAATTAATGATGCTGAACATTCATTATTATATATATATAAATTTTACACATGATATTTAGCGTTCTTTTAATTTTAAAGCCTATAGCAAAAACTCACAAAAAATTGTAGATGACAAACTTTTTACGGATACTGCAAACCGTTATTAGATGTAACCAATAAACATAAACGTCATTTTTCATTTATTTCGTTCTGGTGTGTGTTCAAACTAAAAATAGAATGTTGAGTTTCAATTTGAAAAATGCGCGGTATTAGCGAGATTACGTGAAAAATATTATATATAACTTAAATATGTTGATACCACTACAGCGTCGTTCTGTGGGTCACCTTAATGCTAATATGTCAACACACATATGGCAGAGGCCACGCAAGGTTGCAAGAGGTCACACGATGTGTGGCAATGGCATCAGCGCAGCGTTTGATTTGATTTTCTGCCCGACTAGAGGTCTTAACAAACGACTTAGGTAATTTTCTTCGCTATGAAATCTTTTGATCCAGTTTAATGGCAATAATAATATTAATAATATCGCCATACCACACGCAGGTTTCTAAGTTTTGTTAAAAACTAATAACTTAAATAACGTTAAGCTTGACCAAACATAAGTTAGTTTGATGTGCTCAACTTGAAACTACAATGTTGGTATAATAAATAATAAACATTGATTCGTTTTGAGGATGTATGATCTACTAGATAAATAAAAATTAAAAAAGGTTCGTTCTATAGGTTTATATTTAGGTAATAATAATCAATATTTATTAAAAATCAGCTGTATATGGACTCTTCGAAAAAATTACAAATTTTCAACTTTACCCGGATCCTGGTTCTCTATTGGGTTGCTGCGATTTAATGATGCGAAACGTGGCCTCATTTAAAAAGGGGTTCCTGAGGGTGTGTTCAACAGTTTAGCATTTAGTGAGGCAAGTGCGTAGATATCTGGAGGTATTCGTCTGTGTAAAACTAAATGGTTCCGATGTAAATATTATATTTAAATTATATTTGTAGTTCAAAAAGTTTGTAATGCAAAAGTAAAAATCAAATCCACATAGCATTTTTGATGTAAATTTATTCAATATTCGAAGGTTTCATCCCAGGTTTGAAGAAATACTGATACAAGAAGTCACCCATAGGCAGAAATAGGAGGAATCATTTTGCACAGCTATATTTTACTCAACGTTTTGGATTTGGGTTGTGATTGGTTGGCCAAATTATTGATGTTATCGTTCAGCAGTCAGTTGATTAAAAGTGCTAGCAGCGCATAATTATTTACTTACAAAGATAAAACTTCTTCTACTTAATATTACTATAACACCGTAAAAGGAATTATTGGCGGAAAATTGTTCTTTTTCCACATTCTATGCTCGACGTGTACATTAACAATTTTACCTAATTTTCCGCAAAAATTTTAATACAATGCAAGACTGTATCAGTGTAAATGCATAAATTATTTTTGCCGAACGTGATCAACGGAATAAACGCGCGCCATTGTGTTTAAATCGTGTATGAAAGTAACATGGATTTAGAGAAGTTACCAGAATAGTGAGATTTATATTATTTTAAAAATCAATATTTTTGAGTTTAATGCATAAAATTAGATATATTGTTTGCATAACTTAAATTGTCGAATTTTGTGGAAAATAAATTCGATATTGATGAAATAATCGAAAATTTATCTTTGACAGATTATACATGGATTATGTCAAATAAACTACTGGTTTCATTACCATTTTAAAATCTGAACATACCTAAATGACACAGTGTTTAAATATTAAGTATAATATTAAATTGTCTGATTGTGACTTATTCGTTACATATAAGAAAAATTACCTAAGATGCATATGATAAAATTACCGGAACGATTAGTTACTGTTTTGAGACCAAATTTTAGGCTTTGTTGGCCAAACATTAGAAAACTTTAGGAGGCACGATTCATCGCCATTACGTTAAAGTCGGCTCAATTTTAAACGTCTTTCTAGAGTGGTAGCAGAAGCCTTTGAAATTAGCCAGTTATTCAATTGCGGTAACGTGGATGCCCTAATTAACAGTTTGTTAGTTTTTTAGTAAAGTGGCCCATTAGCATTGATAAAATACTTCACCAATTATCCTCTTGACGGTATGTGAAATTGAAAATATACTCATGGTACGCCTATGCTTTACCGCTCTTCACGCGCACTTCATAATCACCCACACGAGGGGAAGTATATGCAAACTTATTGGTAATTACTAAAAGACGCGAAATGAGAATATCCCAGACTAAAAACATAACTGGATTTTAAGACCGGGTGCTTTGACTGCTGTAGTTTTATCTGACACGCTAATGCTATACTGAATCCAAAATATAGTGCGTTATTTTGATGATTATGAATTGTAAGAAAAACTTCAAAAGTATGTCTCTCACCAAGTGGCGACCAGGTCGCACCAAGTCGAAAATTTAAGAATAGGTTTTCTTTTGTGTCGAACTCACTAACAGGTTGTATCATTTCAGAAAATGTATGTATGTTGTTATTATACGTAAGCTGCTAACATTAACGTAAATTTTAGTAGCGAGACAGACAGGCGACGAATTATAATCGCCTACTTTCTGTAATTTAATGGAGGCCGTTGGTTACTCAATCTCTCAAATGAAATATATTTTTATGTTTTGTTTTGATTTTAAATATACATTGGAATGCAAATCCAAATAATTAATAGTAAAAGATGTTTTTATTTTTTACTAAGAAAAATATTATATTAAATAGAAATTTGGGATATAAAGAAACTTTTAAGATGCATCTGAGTCAAAGATCTATCTTATTGTATGTTAGATTTCTCATAGCTTTCACATTCAACGTGGAAGTGAACAGTCATTGGTGGTAAGTGTAAATTTTTTTCTCTCGATATATGAAACTCTAAAATGATATTGGTATTTCAGAACGAGGAAATTGAATTTTACACCGTCAAGTATTTTTGAATTCCTAACATGTTATTAATTGAACACAAAACTTTGACACTCAGAAGTGGCACGTTGCCAACCAGAATTTTTTAAAACATTTTACTATTTTTTGATCCAATTTAGGTCAATGTCAAACAAGCCCCTCTCAATCACACTGGATAATCACAAAACAAAATCAATTTGCGAATACGTCGAAGGATTATCACGAAATCAGAAAACTTTATGCAGAAGATATTATAATCACATGTCGTTCGTTAGTGAAGGAGCACAAAACGGAATTAATGAATGTCAACATCAGTTCGATGGTCATAGATGGAATTGCTCTACTGTTAAAGACAGTTCTGTGTTTGGGAAAGTTTTAAAGATAGGTAGGTTGTTGATGTTTAATTCAATAGCTGCAATGTTACAGAAGTTGATATAATAATAATAATATATTACAAATTTTTATAAAAAGCTAAAAATGTCAATTTTCACACATGACACTCAACAATGAAGATTTTTAGTTTTGTACAAAACTTGCGTGCTACCTTTGCAAAAATGATTATACAATATTTTTATACACCTGTCCACAGAAAACTTGGGAAACGTCTTTTGACCATGTCTTGTTGTTACATTTGATATGTTTGTGAATGTCAAAAATGGGTCGCTATGTAATTTGATATCCTTACTGTGACAAAAATTCAATCACCCTCGTCAAACGCAGGTGCAAGAAGGAATGCGGGTACCATCTGGTTCTTTTCCGTTTCAATCCCAAATGACTGTATTATCCTTGGATATAACTGGAATGGAAGTAGTTTTTATTTCCAAAATACCATTTTAGTTCGATAAAATGCTTAAAACGATACAAAATCACAAAAAAATATCCTGTATTCAAAAAATATTTTTCAAATTCTATTTTTATTTATACAATATGAGTACATCCTATTTGTCATATAAAAACTATAGTTTTCAGCATAAACACGTTCAATGTCATCAAAGAACTAAAAATATTGCTTTTTGTTACATAAAATTTCATGTCACAAACATCCTATTTTTCCATGTATATATAATTATTCAGTTTTACTACTCGGATTTCAATATATTATTATATAAACTCAAGCGCGCTTTTATTCTATGAACTTATTTATACTTGACTGACGTTCAGGCGTTCAATACTATTATGATAAAGCAAAACAGTTTTACAATAGCGTGAAGGCATTTGGACGCGGTATTTTGTTGTCAACTGCCGTAAAATGTTATGCGAGTATTTGTTGAAGTTTTCAAATTATGCATAACATTCTGCATAAATCAATTCATCCGTGTACAGTTGTATTTCAAACCACTTACATTTACGTTTATGAAATTACATCATTCTTAAATTTGGATACGTTCATTCATAAAGCTAACTTGAATGTTTCGATTTTTTTTTGATATCATCTATGGGAATAAGATTTCACGCGTAGTCCAAGTCTTTGATTAAAAGGGAAATACTGTGTCGTTTTTCACAACCAATTCATTTGTTTTACACAAAATAAAATGTAAAAAGCGTGGATTTAACGCTTTAATGACAAAATTTGACGCCGATAATATGTAATCTGCGAACCCCAATTATATACAAACTTTATAAAAATATATAAAAATTAACAAAAGTCATTTTCTACTTTCTTTTTAGGGAGTAAAGAAACTGCTTTTACATATGCCGTTGCAGCAGCTGGAGTAGTTTACTCAGTAGCAAAGGGTTGCAAAAGTGATACATTGGGCACATGTGGGTGCAGTCGGAAACAACGACCAATGGGATTGGCAAAGGAGTGGGTAAGCGTTTGTTGGTACTAGTATATTTACAGCGTAGTACTACAAAAATTTCCAAACATAAACAAATTATCAATTCTTATCTTATCCTGTGAAGCATCGTGGTTTCACTAATGACACTGTTTAAAAATTGGTTTGGAAACCTGTGATTAATTTATCAGTTTGATATCTTGGTGAGGTTCAAGTTTGAAATTCCAGGTTCAAATCCTAGTTTGTGTCGCCTGCTGTGTAACACAACTCGCAAGTAACCTAATTAATCAGGATCCCAAAGTTTCAAGCTTTTTCGGACTCTGAATCTGGATGGTTGACGATCTAGCAGTCACAACACCAGTTTGATTAATTTTTTCTACTTTGTGTAGAGATGGGGAGGCTGTGGTGATGATACCGATTATGCTTATGGATTTGCAAGAGAATTCATTGATGCGAGAGAACGAGACAATCTCTCTCCTAGAGGGAGAAAGGAGAGAGCAAGAAAAATTATGAACATGCACAACAACGAAGCTGGAAGAATGGTGGGTAGGAATTTTGATCGCCTTTCATGACTTCTAGTACAAGACAAGCTTAAAAAAATAGCTTAACCTTAGGCCATTGTTCTCAGTTATGGAAGTGGGTGAACTGAAAAAAGAGCCCCATTCGTCAGACGTCAAAATAATTTCTTTAAAAACGACCATGCAAGTGTAAGAAACTGCGTCGTCGAGATAGACCGTCGTAAAAGGGACTAGAAATTTTCAGTTTTTAGTAGACTACACGTAAACAACTAGCTTGACTAATAATGTTCATGCGATTACGATTTGAAGCCGATATATTCATTATGCATATATATTAACTTCAATGAGGGGTCAATAATGAAATACAATAAAAAAAAATTCCACTTTAGGAGAAAAACAGCACGACCTGGAAACAAAACTTTTTGGGTTCACAATCAAATAAATAGATTTCTATTTTACCCAAAGCAAAGAATTTCAAGTACTTGTCGGTGTCGAGTCACGTCTACTTGAAACACTCAAAGCTTGACAATCAATTTCGTTTATTGTAAAAATATTGATACATTCAGTCGTATAAAGAAAACGTTCGGTCATGTGATTACTAGATGACATGTATTTCCGTTTCTCATGAGCTTCGAATCTTTTGCGTGACTATCATCGGTAAATTAGTCTATACTAGATAGACTCGAAAGCGAACAAATACAAGAATGAAGTGTGTTATTTGACTGTCTATGGCGAAATGTTTTTAAGACAATGTTTACATCGCCGTCAAATGTCAAACAGTTGTCTTCGTCTGATGTGTAAATTGCATTCTATTCCTAAACGTTAAACAAGAACAATTATATACAACAATATACATACAATTGAATCGCTCAAAATTAGGAAATCATTTTTAATACACTGACCAAAGTTTTTGACCTGCCTTTGGGACGTACTTCAAAAATATAGTCTATTTCTAAGTACCCACAAGCAGATAAAATAGAAGCGTAGCAAAGAAGTGGCCGGCCCATCTTAGTAGTATTACCGGGAAGTGTGCTATTTTGCATTTTCCTTACAATTGCTTTTATGAAATGCTGACAAATTGGTAATAGCCATATCTTTCATTGTTTGGTGTATGACGCTCTCTAATTGCATTGATATGCATATTGTATATATATTTTGAGCATTCCCTATTTAAAAATGAACTATTAAAATTTCCTAGTTTATAATCAATTCGTTTACTTTTACAGGCTGCAGTTCGTGCTACTCGTCCGGCATGTAAGTGTCATGGCGTATCTGGTTCATGTAGTTTGAAAAGTTGCTGGTACCAAGTCCCCGACTTCAGAGTCATTGGCGATATGTTGAAAGTAGAACATAAAAGAGCCATTGAAATGAGAATGAATAAAAGGGGACTTATTCGACCCCGTAAAAGGCCACGAGAGGCGCCATTTATCACTGACTTGATATTTATAGAGTCCTCTCCGGATTACTGCAGACGTAATACTCGTACTGGTGTTCTCGGCACTAGAGGTCGGGAATGTAAACTAAACTCTCGTGGTATGGACGGTTGTGGATTACTATGTTGTGGTCGAGGATATAGAACAAAAATGATTGAAGTTACCGAAAGATGTAATTGTAAATTTGAATGGTGTTGCGAAGTCCGATGCCAGAAATGTAAAAGAAAAATTGTCCAATATACATGTAAATAAAGGCCGGAACCAACAAGTGTTCATATCATACGGAAAAATGGAATAATATCACGCTTCGAATCAATACAAAATTTCTATGATTTTCCATGGCGACCATAAATAATGGAACGAATGAAACAGAACTGAAATATGGATTAAGGATTCGATATTTCTAAATAAAGGTAAATAACATTTATATATATATTTATTTATATAGTAGTTATGAGTAATATACATGTATTCCAATATACATATATGGAAATACCATAAACTAGTATGACGTGTTTGGAATATTCACAATATATTTATCTAAATAAACAGACATCTATTTGCTAATTAATAAAGTTTGAGACGCTAATAAGGAGATAACTATGACCATATATTTTTCAGAATTAGTTAAATTTAACAAAAAAAAATTGTATTTTTCAGTTTGGCCGGAGCAAGAAAAATAAAAGAAACAACATATGATGAAAAAGAACGTTGAATTTATCTATTTTGAAATGAACAAAATAATCGAATCGGGGTCGAATAAGTCCCCTTTTATTCATTCTCATTTCAATGGCTCTTTTATGTTCTACTTTCAACATATCGCCAATGACTCTATCGAAACTTTTAAAATAATTAACCTAAAAATGGAGAATATTGCTAAATATGGCTTAGAGATGTAACTGGTATATGATAACTTTTATGTTCCAAGTATAATTTTCCTCTATTATATATAAAGCTCGTCCTGAGTGACATTTTCCGTTGTTTTTTGTTATCTTTGCGACTCATTTTCCAGGTGTATCTTTCATACGTTTGTTTTTCTTTATTTTTGATTATCGTGATTTTTGTAGTATTATTTATTTATTTTTTTGTAAATTATTTTCAAACACTGTGAATAAATGCTGTAATGACCTCTTTCGTTAAAATATCTCTATTGAGTTGTTTTTATCGTAGTATACCTCGAATACCACAAGAACGGCGATTTAGAAAAAGCAAGTCTATTTTAACGAAAAATTAGGTGAACATTAATTAATGCTTACAATCGAGTCAATTGTAGATAAAAAGTCAAATCACTGAAAGAAAAATAATAATAATCGTAAAGTTGAAAAGTAGAAAATAGCGTCTTTTTACCACAGCTTGTCCATTTTCCAGTGAAAACCAATCATAAAAATTTAAATTTTTCACCTTTTTATGCCATATATGCATATATGACATTAAAAAAACGTTTATTTCCCAATATGTGGTTATTTAAAAATCAGAATACTAATATCACACATAATGATCAATAGACTTCGGTTAAAAACAAATTCCAGACTTCAAATTTGTACATTGTGGCCTATTGACGCGTACGACTTCAGCGAAATGGGTGCCGACATGTCTCCCATTTTTGGTTTCGTTCATACCGGCAACCCAACCTTGTTAATTAAATTCAGTTCATGTTATTTTAACCCATCAACACCCAGTTCAAGTGGCTCCAGGATGTCAATAATTTTTTGAACGAGGTTAAATCCTAAGGTTGGGACATATCTAGATCAAGTATGGCCTTTCTCTTAAGCCTTGTATTTGAACCCAATGCTTGGCGGTAAAGAAATAATTATCTATTCGAAATTTATTTGGTGAAATTACTCGACTCTATCAATGAGTATGTTAAGTATTTCATATGAATATATAGTATTTTCAAAATTCTTTTTGAGAAAAACGTGTCTGTTAAACTTTTTTCTTATAATATCTCATTCTTCATAAAACGAAATTCAAGATTATATTATTCGTATATTCAAATTAAACTCATTTAATTTTCATTCCCAGACTTTCTGAGTGAAGAGAAGATTTTTATTTACCTAAGTAATTTACTTCATTTTAAAGACAAACTCTTAACCTTATAAACTCCCACACACACATATTTTGAAAACATAAAATATAATTTTGTGGAGGTTTAAATCCAATATGACCCAAGTTCATGTTCAGTTCACAGTATTTTACGTTTGTATGATGGCATGTATTTTTCGTCCCGGAATTGGTAGCAGAATCAATACGAAAGTATTGCGAGATTGATATAAATTGCTACTTTTGACGAAAAAATTCCCAATCCGACCTATTCAACTTTTGCAATAGTATAACTCACGACTTTTATTGTCAACTCCACCAACGACCGTACTATTAGGTGTTGTCATAGCGATATGTGGTACACATTGCGTGCTCACTGTGAGGACCAGGACACACAGGGTATGATTACAAAACACATTCGTAATGACAGAACACATTTGCAATGACAAAATCGTATTTGAACAGCGGTGTATAATTAATTAGTAATAGTAAGATTTTCGTGTGAAAATTAGGAATATTGATTTTTAATTTAATTAACATTTTAGGTTTGGTTGAATAAATAGACACAATGGTTTGTCAATTTGAGGGCAAGAATATAGACTGGAAAACAAGTTCATTGGTAACTACGTGAAAAATTTTCCCGCAATAAAATATTAGGACATTTATAGTTTTCTTTTTATTTCTTCGTATTATATGAAATTAGTGATGATTACTCTCATCGAAACCCGATGAAATTACAACTTCAACCAAACTGCATTTTAAAAATTAAACTGGTTGCCTGACCCATCTCAATTAAATTTTTTCTTCGTCGTCGGTCATACGGTGTCCACTCTGACTCATCTATAACGGGCAGTGTAGAAATGATCAGTCCAGTACTACATTTATCGCATGTTTATGATAATCTACGCAGGTGAAGAATTGGTACGGGGAAGTTAAAAATCAATTTGCTATGTTTTGGGTATAAACATGCACCCAGCCACCTCTTACTTTTGACCCGACTTTTCGATGGAGTTAACTCACCAATTTGCAAGCAAGGTCCTAAGATTTTACAAGTGTACGGAAACAATTAACAACCGTCGCACATGCTTGTTTTGTATCGTAGGGAAGGGTAAATATCGTGTACGGCGCCACACGGTGTTTTCGAAAATAGCCTCCATGCTATCTATCATACGCGACCGAAGCTTTAATTACTTTAATTTGACATGTTCAAATTTTAATTTTCAATAAATTACGGTAATATTTTTACCGGAATCGACCATACGCATCTTCTTCAAAACAGAGTTTCTTGCACGCTATACTTCTATGTTCTTTTTTCAGTGCGTCATGGGGAGATTTTTTATTGAATTTACAAAGCTATTAAATGATGATATAGTATCACAAAATATTTTTAGTGTCGCGTTAAAGCTGATGTAAAACTAGTCGCCCGTGATGTTATATATCGACAACTGCGTCACTGGAAACTGTATCGTGGAAAAGTAATCGATGCTAAGTGCTTTTCATGTATATGTTTTTTCGTGGAAAATTCTATTCGCCAAGTCAATATGATATGCACAAAGCATTGTACGTTTCATTCATTTTGAGAGATACACGTACAAGTTTTCTCAAAGGTTCGAAAATAAAAATAGAAACGAAATTTAACTATCCAAAGCTATTGGAAATATTATTTATGTATCATTAGACAATGAATAACAAGAAATTTATGTATGAATAATATCGTCTTATATTAATGTATTTGAAAATTTCAAAGCATTGTTTACGCACTCAATTTTGCTCCAAATAGACCCTGAAAATGGATAAAGTTACCCAAACAAAAAGTAAAAGAAATCTTTTTAAATGAAAATCTCTTATTTTTTATTTTACCGACAAAATTTTCCTCAAAATTGCAATTTATGCTTAGTTTGTTGAGTGCGTTTTACATGTATTCACATTGTATAGACCCGATGATGTATATATAATTACCTTCCCAAAAGCACCAAAAGCGTTTCTTTGTTGTTTAGTACAACTGCATTGAATGCCTCAATATCGACCGGAAGCAATGATCACACACACAACGGATTATTTTGATTTATTTTTGGTATTAAACTTTTTTGCTTCGAAATATATTGGTAAAAAAATCAAAACAACATTTACAAGTCAAAAAGAATTAACCCATACATTATTCAATATTATTTTACACTTTTTCATATTAGTTTTTTAAACAACAACTACTTTTATTGTTTGCTTTTAAATGAAGGGTGACCAGGTTATGGCGACTTTACTTCCGCGATAAGACAGCTCAGTGTCAAGTGATGCAAATGTTTCTAGTGATCATTATTAGATTGTTTAAATAACTAATCCTAACTAATACCCCCAAGGAGTTAAGTGTAAAAGTGTGGTTTGTGCCAAGATTTCTTCGGTCTATTTGCGGCAAATGAGGGAATGCTATTGAGTAAATTTAACTAAACATATACTTGAGCCAATCGCTATTTAACGAAAATTCATAAGTCTCAAAGATATAATATAATTGAGCGTGTAACGCACGCCCTATTCGCTATAAGTAATTGATTGGTTATTAATTTTTTCAAACTTTAGTAAGACTGAAAACACAGTATCGTATTCACGTTTTAGTACAATGAACTTGCAGAATCGACCTTGAAAGATCAGTTTATTGCTGGATATTAACTGAAAAACCTGCGGCAAGAAGACAAGATCATCGATTCAGTTCATTCAAAAGATGTTCTCAACTGTTTCACTTTATACAACAAGAAAAAATAATACATCAGAACAAATGTTCACCAAAACTGTGGGTATGCGGAATGCTTCAACAACACCCAGTTGTAGTATTTGTTCTATTTTAGGCTTATGTGGATATCCAAAATTCTCGAAAATGCTGGACATATATATGGTATACATATTAAACCTGTTCAGTATTTGTTAGTTGGGTGATCTAGTAGAGCAATGTGTTGCATTTATATGACTTTATGCGCTCAAAGGGGGACATTCAATGAAAAAGCAGAGACGAAAACCTTCAACTGGATCTTGATTTGCTGACTGCACCATCAGAATAGTTTTTTTGTAGAACTTTTCCCAATTTATTTAGTGACTGTGTGTGTGTGTGCTGTACTTATACTACAAGTGGTGTTTAGAAAAGAGAGATTAAATTTAACAACTGCTATCACAGTTATAAGTAGTTATTGTGAGTTAAGACTATGCATTGTGCCTTGACTGCATATTTAGTAAGATACATCGGGCGACAGAGTGTTGTTGTAACTCTTCGATTTTTCGATCATATAGAAGTTCCCTTAATGAGTACAGCTGGACTGCTACGCATACGCGTCATCTTTACTTCAGTGACATCTAGCGGCCAGTTGATTTTGATTTCTAGACCCATTTTGATGTGTAATGTCTGTATCGTACAAGTCCTATTCATTTTTCTCGTGAAAATATCATATATAAAAACTTTTAGGAGTCCAAAAAGGAGATGCCACAAAGTATAAATTGGAAAACCTTACCGATTTTATTAGATTATGAACATGGATTGAAACAACTTCATTCGAGTTCTTCCATTCAACCCACTATATCATTTCAGAATCTTGTAAAACGGGCCGCACCTTTATTTAAGATATCCTAGTAGTTTCAGACAGGTAAAAAAAAAATGTTTCCATTTTTATTGATTTTACGGTGTGTTAGGGGTACTTGCAGACATGGTGATTTAAAACGCATAGATTTCTAAAGAAAAATGCTATTCAAATTTATTGTCACACCAACTTTAAACAAATTCAGTGAGAAACATGTTTTTATAACATTGTAAACTTGGCAACAGGATTTTGCTAGCTAGTTTCGCTTATATGACAGTGGCACTCAGATTTCACAGTTTGCACACGCCTGGTCTAACGTATAAAAAAAACAATAACGAGTTCGCTGACTCTCACGGCATTCCAAGAATACCCAACACTAGATTTAAACGACCAATCGAAAACATAATTTTGTTTATTTACCAATTAAGCATTTTGAAAACGAATGAGGTAAAAAAAAATTAAAGACATCTCTGAAATGCTAAAAAACAATACTTAACATTGAAATTACACGGGAATGGAAATGAGCTAAGTTTTACTCAACTAGGCCTTTTTTCCCCTGAACGTGTCTGAATATTCCTAACTAAAACCGTTGATGACAAGTAAATCAGTGAAAGTATGTACACTGTCATTGGTAAATAAAAATGCATAATCAAAACATATTTTTTCTTAATCTTGAATTTTTGAAGTCTTTCTGACAACGCAATTCGATACTCATTTAAAAATGTTAATTTACGTGAAGATGGGAACCGGTCCTTACGTTTTAAATGCGTGCAAATTGTTCGTTAAGAATGCTGCAACATACCAATGACATACATACTACTTTATGACGCGAGGAACTTACGGCTGGGTGAATTACGTGATGAAAATAAAGCGGAATATTTACATACTGGTGATTGCTTTGCCGTTTTCGTTTTGTCGACTGAAACCTGAATGCCCTTACGCATTTGCGGTAAGGAGAAAATGTCGCGAGTATAGAGTACGATATATATTCGCTATAGCTGAGATGAGCTCTTCATTTTAGGTAATATTGCTTTCGCACTTCCCTTTTTGAGTTATTTTGTTTTATATTTCGTCCAACTATTTGTATAACTCAGTGAAATACATTATACAACCTCTATATAAAGGGGACATAAAGGGTATCATATTACAACATTTGCGGTAAGGAGAAAAGGTCGCGAGTATAGAGTACGATATATATTCGCTATAGCTGAGATGAGCTCTTCATTTTAGGTAATATTGCTTTCGCACTTCCCTTTTTGAGTTATTTTGTTTTATATTTCGTCCAACTATTTGTACAACTCAGTGAAATACATTATACAACCTTTATATAAAGAGGACATAAAGGGTATCATATTACAACATTTGTACCAATAATAGAAACAAGCATCTACGTAACAGTTATTTTCACTTTGGTATTTTAGCTCTATGAAAGCCAAAAGAGTAATTTGATCAAACTTTTGATTTTTGCCGCCCACGAGAACGTTTCGGTATCACGACTCACGAGCCAGGCGATTTATTTTCGTGATATGGTCCGGTAAACATTTGTACCCAAGCTTTTGTTTGATTGAGTACGATGTTTCCATCCTCTAAAAATCACCCGGGTGTGACGGCAATAATACCCATGAATTCAATGCGAACCTGCTTGCAGTCACGTAGAAAAATCGGAGACAAATAGTATATACCCCTTTTATTTGTGACAGAGGGTCATAAACATGAGTACCGTTCGTTCGGTCAGTGGTGCTTGTTGACAATGTGCGCGTAACAAAAGTAAACAATTTTTCTCAGTAAACATGATTGCACTCGAATGTATATGTAATGTGCGGGCAGCTTATGTATGAGTATTGGATTCAGTTTATATTAATTGAGGTGCTGAAAGAGATATTACTTCAAGCAACTAATCGATTTCTCCCAGTAGTAGTATAGTCAGTACTATATGTGTTAAGTTAATTTGAAATTTCAGAGCAATATCACTAAATAGCCAGAGGAATAAAATTCAAATTCGAATGCATATTTTCAAGTCAAAAAACGCCGAGACATACATTCCATGTACATTACTAGAAGTGTATGTCCTCGTAAGGGACGGGACAGGTGTTGATGGAAAACTACTTGTGCACATAATTGCCCTGAGGGTAATATGCTTCTATCCTTTATCTCATGTCTCACGTGACTATTGATGACGTTATCTGCACGTGATCAAGTGTGAATCATTTGATCACACGCTTAACTTAAAAACAAGTCGCTAATATAAGTTTTGTATAACACAGGATACACACAGAGCACAAATATATAAAGCACAAACAATGGTTGCATTGCATTTATTTTTACAAATTTCATCGTTTCGCTAACATCTGTTTTAGTCTATATATCGTCGACGAAAGATACTTGTTTACAAGCATATATGTTTTTTTATTAGGTGAAAAGTGAATTTTGTATAACGCTTCACAGAAAGTATATTCTAAAATTCAATCATGGGAAAAATTGTTTCATTTGGATTTGTATTTTCTGACAACAAGACAGTATATTTTCCAGGCGATTTTGTAAGTGGACATCTTGTCGTGGATATTCTCCGACCGATGAAAATTAAGGGTGAGAATATTTAATGGTATTTTTAGGGCATTTACGTTTGATTTGTCAAAATCAAAAAAGAAATATTTTCATGTACGGAAATTTTTAATGAGTAGGCCTAGTTTGTCTAACACATGTTACTATTTTTTGTTTTCTTATTTATAAGTTTTTGTTTCACCCCGAAAAAGAAACTTCTGAATGAGCTAATATTGGCTTATGGCTTATGGCCCTGTGCATTAGATCATAGGTTCTCAAAGTGCTCCGTACGGAGCCCCAGGGCTCCGCGAGAGAAACCCAGGGGCTCCGCGAGCTATTCGATTACTTTTCAAAATACTGACTAATTTTGTAACTGTTCAAAGAAGCAATAACAGCTTTGATAAAATCTGACAACAATATAGCCTCGAAATATGGCACAGAGGCGGAATTTAAAAATGACATTATTTATAAGCAGGAGCGCAGCCAGGATTCTTAAGAGGGAGGTGGTTCAAAATTAGAATCGAAAATTTCCGCGCAACATTCGCGATTAAAAAACGGATAACGGGATTTCTGTTGCGTAAAATATTCAATCCATGGCCGATGCCAGCATTTAAAGTGTCTCGTCGTTATAATGTAATTGTGTTCATCTTTACTCACCTTTGATTCGAAATTACTATTAGGATTACTAAAATGAAAGAATACTATTCTAAAATAACATAAAATATGTGATAAACTGCCAACTATAAATAAATTGGAGTCGTATTTTTGCGATCTTGGGGTTTGTCAAACTTGATTTGTTCTTTCGCACTTGAGAATATATTTAAGCAAGATATCGCCGTTTAAAATATCACAATGTCTGGGCAAAATACGAACAATTGAAATCTATTTTATTGCATTCGGCTCCATCGGTAGTTTTAGAATGAAAATGGTACATCGCGGATCGCGCGCACAATTGATTGCGAGCGGTTCCGTCGGCAGTTTCAAAATGGGAAAAAAAAATACATCGCACGCACAATTGACTGTGTTTCGATTTTGCAGTTACTACGATGAAAATCTAACATAACAGCAAATTTTGTGATTTACAATGTCTATAAAAGCGTTTTCAATCTACGGTGAGTCTGCTGAAACCAAACGTGTGATCTTCCATTTTAAGTTTTAGTTTTAATATTTTAGAATGCCGCTTTTCAATCAAGAAATTTGAGTTGCGGATCTACCTCTTCATTAATTATTATTTTTAGCAGTTCGTCGCCGATGACTATAAAATGGTAACATATTTTTCACATTGAACTCATAATTCCCCACGAGAACAAAAAAGCAATTAACGTCGTCATTGTGTAACAATACATGTATATGCCGAGGGAATTTTTGATTTAGGGAGAATAAACAACGGCGTAAAGATGTAGGTTCAAAAACACGCCGCCATGCTGAGGAAAAAAATCGGCGATTGTGACAAAATGCAATCTCGCACATTATTAGCGGCATTTTGGGTCTTCCAAAAATGTCAAAAGGGAGAAGATTCGACCCCTAATTTATTAGTATGTTTGTCAAGTGTCAAATTTACAGCTTTAGTATATATAATTTATGTTTGAAATTTAGATTTATTTATAACTTGTATTAACCCTATCAAAAAAGGTTCAGCATTTAAATTGAGTAAAGTACTTTTAACTTGCTCAGGAATATTAATCAGAAAGTAACAATTTTAACATTTATTTTGGGGCTCCGTGAATAATAGTCAACAATTTCAAGGGCTCCGCGACACCAAAAGTTTGAGAACCCCTGCATTAGATAATACTATTTGTACAAATCTAAATTTTTTGGCAATGCCCAAGTAGCTTATGATACCCTGAATAAGATAGATAGGGCTGTGGTAGGATATAACCCTTGGAATCTGAAACGACACGTAGCCATTCTCGTCAAGCAATACTGGCATTTGTGCATGTTTAGAATAATAAAGTCGCATATCAGTTCTTCGTTAATAAATTATCTCTTCATGTATTTTTGTCTAGAAATCAAAATAAGATTTTTCGGCAAAGCTCATGTTCGTTGGAAAACTACAGAGATGGTGAATGTTCCCAATCTGCACGAAAGCATACATGCCAGCCAAACAAATAGGCAATCTGTTACTAGAAATTACTCCGCTACACAAAACCTTTTTAACCAACATATGTTGTTGTATGGAAGAGGTGGGTATTATAAAACGCCTTTTTAAGTTTGTTTAGTAGTTTGATTTTGGTTTGATCAATCTGGATATGAAATGTTTGTCAAATTTTAAACCCTACAATTCAACCAATTAATAAAGCAATATTATTAAGAAACGAAAAATAAATCGGAGATTGGGTAGGTCGAGACTATGATTTTTTTTGTGTGTTATTTCATCATTGAGTAATTATGTTGTTGCAGAAGTGAATGGCGAACATAGCTTACCACAGGGACAGACTATTTTACCATTTGAATGCCAACTGCCACATCCTCTACCGTCATCGTTTGAAGGTAAATCTTCACTGATTTGCATGAAAATAGACTCGACTTGAAAATCAGTTAGATTACGCAAAGATTAACTACATACCATTCCTCTATGCATTTTTCAAATCCGCATGCGTAAAATGCAGGAACACTGTAACAAGAATAAATTTGGCTAATTCATGTGATTCTGATAGAATACTTTCAATACAGTCATTTACTAATTATGTTTGATGAATTTATATTTCTTATAATATTTATATTATATATATTATTTATTATAAATACTTGATTGGCAATTGAATGTTATTGCCAGCATTATTTTTTCCTTATGCCTAGAATATTCAATTTTATATAGATAATATTTAACACGCAAAATTTGTTTCAAATTTAAAAATACATTCCTATAGATAAACCTATTATGGTGAAACCACAGTAACTAAATAATATCAAAAACTCTGAAACCATTCATAACTAAGTCCTGCTTTCGTTCGATTTCTGTTACGTTTCGCAAAATTTTCATTTTTTGATATTAAATGTTTCATTGATAGCATTGAGTAATTCACTTTCAATTTGTAAGGGAAATTATGCTACAGAGAAACATGTTGAGATTAGGGTTGTTCAATACATATTGGTTTCAAAATATTAAAGTGTTGGATAGTCTATACTGCATTATGATTTTTCTAATCTTGCTTGTATAAAATATGACATAACAAACCATTTTTACACTCGCATTATTAGATTACAGTTGTTCATTTTGTAAGAAATTGTGACAGATGAGCAAATTTGAAATTTTAAAACAATTATATATATATCTAACTATACAATAAGCAATATTATGTAATATATATATATATGAGACCTAATTTGATTTTTTTTTATATATCATAGGAGAATTCGGATACATACGATACTCTGTTAAAGCAACAATAGTTAGAGAATGGAGGCTCGATTGTACAACGAAAAAATATTTTACAGTTCTTGATAGTCTTGATCTAAATCGTATACAAGATATTACGGTCAGTATTTGATATTCGAGCCTTTGAACTATTTTAGTTATGTCACGTTATTTTCGATTTTATATTATATTACATTAGAATATTATAATTCCCTCTCACGTTTGATAGTCTGGTTAGAGGAATGTTTTTGAGTGATTAAATATGTCCATGAAATAAAAGAGTATGAATGTTTGAAGAGACCAAATCAAACCAAATCTCACTTAACTGTACAAATTACCAACGGAAAATAATGTTAAACTTCATTTTTATGCAGCGTTTTCGAAGTTCTTTTTATCCGAAAAAGACGTTGTTCAAGCAGCCACCATTTCGTATTATTTTTGCAGGACTGGTATTTTCGAGATTTGGAATTGTCAGCAAATTATTCGAAAATATTTTGTGCCCATTTAGTCCGTTTTTTAAATCCTAGATCCATTGAGTTTAAAATACATCATTTTTTATTGTTCATATCAGAATCCGTCACAAAATTATGATTCACAGTCAATAGCGTGTTCGTGCACAAGAAGTGGAATAATTGAAGTTGATTTTTCTTCAGACAGAACTGGTTACGTGCCAGGCGAATATATAAAAATAAATGCTAATATTTCTAATTCAAGGTAACCTAAAATCTTACGTTGAATATCCCTAATTTAGATTACCTGATGATTTTCTATGTTCCATACCTCGATGTAGTACTTTTAAATTACAGTGGAATATACCATACAATCACATTCACAGTGTATGCCATATGCTGAAGTTTGTTTAATTTTTTATTTATAAATAATTCTTTGCTTTTCGAATTGGTCGGTACATGGTTTGTAAGCACCACATGAATCCTTTCTCTCAAATCTGTCAAATAATTCGTTAGCTGTACCTGCCGCCGTGAGATAGATAATGCATTGTCTCAAAATTGTTGCGCCCACACCTGTCCCACATCTGTCTCATTCTCATCCCACTTCTCCCACACTTTTTCATTATTCTGAGTTTGGGTAGATATTTATATCGTGAAGCAAAGTTAAAGTAAGCATGTAAAATGAGATCCATCCTATGTTTTGGAATGGAAGTTGTAGCTTGGTAGAAGGCTTGGATATCAAATGAAGTGAGATTCGTGAGACAAGTGTGGATCAAGTTGGACAAATGTGGATCAAGTGGGATAAGCTACACACGACCTTTTTTAAACCCCCCTACCTTACGGTGTCTTGCAAATTTCAAGCACAAATTTATATCATAAATAGTAATGTTTACAGTCAAGCACTTAAAATACCATCAATGATTCTTTATCTTTATTGTAAATCTACATTGCTGTACATATGTATAAATTGTTAATGTTTTAACGGGAATTATGTCTTGCGTTGTCTTAGACTTGTCAAAAAACCTACATTCAACTTTGAATCTCAGATAAATACTTCTCTCGTTAACAGTAACAGCAGAGTCAAATCAAGCTCAGTCAAACTTCTACAGACAGTGACGTTTTATGCTTCATCAAAAACACGAAGAAAAACCTACGTGATAAATGATGTGACTGGTCCTTCAGTTCCAAAGCGTAAAACATTCAATTGGGCAGACGCAGTTCTTCACATACCTCCTCTTCCTCCGTCAGAATCTCGAAATTGCAGAATTATCGATATCGACTATTCGTTAGTTGTAAGCATTGTTGATGATTAAAATTCCGGTTCTTGAGGTTCTTCAATATAAATATTTGATTACGTTAAACAAGAGAGCAGTGCTTAAATATATAGTAACAAAGGCCAAACGAAGTGGTATGCATATCCAATGTTATACATAAGACTACTGTACCGTAGTCTTCCCGACTTAGCAACGCCACAAGATGCGCAATTTTTAATTTGATGACGTCATCGCACACAAAAAACGGATCTTGCAGACCCCATAGAAATTTTTGAAGAAAATTATAGCTTTCTAGCGACAACAGTCTTCAACAAATCTTTAATTTTGAAGCAATTGGTTGAGTAATCACAGAGGAAATCTAATGTTTCGTGACGACAAAATAAAAATATCAACAAGAACAACATCATAATATCCAAACCCTACATAAAAACATTTTGTGTTCAATAGCAATTTGGACTAATTTGACCATGAAACACTTAATAAATTAAAATCATACAAGTTTTTATTTTAATAAACACAAACTTTTATTTTTCTGCAGTTCCATGCTAGACTCCGAGACTTCACACCAGATATTCGCATGTTTGTTCCAATCATACTAGGAACGGTGCCAATCGATAGTCTTGAAATGTACAGTAGAACAACATTAAATGGATATACAATGTCTTCAGTCATTCCGAGTGCCCCCACAAGAGATGCGATTTCAGCTGAAAACTCTGATCCTCCTCCAAACTATACGTCTCAGAGTAAGTTGAATTTGATAGTCTAGTTGGTCCCCCCTACTTACTCGTTCTCTGTTTGTGTGTGCTATCTAATTAACATACTTTAATACTTCAGAAAGTATCGGTCTAATTACTCATAGCTGCGGTGTAGAAGTATATTTATCGCATAGTTATTGGGATATCAAGTTTGACCAAGATTTACTTCGCTTCATTTTTATTCCATAGTATTATATCCCGATGTATTCCATCATATATTAACGTCAAATGTAGAAAACGAATCATCGTTTATAAATAGTACAGATTTAGGACTATTAAATACATATCACTTTTTTGTTGATATCATTTTCAATATGTTTTTATTTTGTATTTTGCCTAAATCTTGAGATTGCGTGTCACCAGCCATCGCTAATGAGTAGTAACATGTCACACCATCCTGCAAATATATATAATCCCATGATAACTCATATTTCACAAAAAAATGCATTAAAATTTGTACTTAACAGTTTCCTTTTTCACAGTGCCACCACCGCCATCGTATGCTGCTGCTACTGGATCAATACCTATTTTAAGGGATGAAGAGGATGGCGAAGATGAACATTATAATGAAGAACACGAGGCATTTGCCCCCAGATACACATATTATGACTGGGATCATAATTCCTGAGAAATCATCATAATATAAAATGTGATGTGAATGAGCCGAATGTGAAATGAAAAATCTAGAAACTTAACAAATAATCTGAATTGGCAAGCTGTTGAAGATGGCCAGAAAATATTCACATAAATATATATTTTAACATTCAATGCAACCTATATTTACTGTGCTTATTGCACTAAATGTTTCGTATAAATGAAAGTGAAAAATTCAATTGAAACTGATTGATCATCGTTACAGTAATCTTTAACAAAGAAGTTCAAGAACAAGGAGTCTGTTTCATAGTGCGCTATTTTTTTAATTTAAAGATTTCTCGACAACCAATATGAAACAGTTATAATAAATGTTTCAAGCTTGGCGTTGTCATCAGTTACGAGTTGATCACGTGACCGAATCCTCATCATAAAGTTCAAACTGACATGCTCTAAAATTGTTCGAAAAAAAATGTAGTCATAACGATGTTTATCATTAAAATTTAAATCCCAATTCAAATGTAGCTACTCCATTGTCAAGCTCATCATCTGTCAGGGGATAAAAGTTGTCCGTCTTATAATACACTTTTTAAGTCTATTAATTCTCGGCAACTGATACATATACTATATGTAAATCAATTATGGGAAAGCTTATCGCAGTTTCTATTAGTAGAAAAGTCAGAAAATACGAGATTGGTTTCTTCGTGGAATGAGTTAATGCTGTAATCGGTTGTCAATTTTGTGATATTGAATAATCTATTAAAAAGGGGTACTCCTGAAGTATGTGAACCGAGATGGTGGACAGGTTAGGGTCAAGCAATGATTTTAATCTAATTTTCCGTAATTTAGTTCTATTACTAGTTTAGGGACTAGCCAAGTGACTCTCGTAGTAATTGTACCTGAGATTATTGCTTAACGATAACCTGGTACACATACTACGTTCCGGTGTCCGCCATCTTGAATCGCGTATTTTGGGAGTACCAAATAAATGCGATGAAAGGAATTTTAATTTATATATAACGTGGCAATTATGTGTGTTTCTCGAGTCACCATAAATGGAAGAGTTCATTTTCAATCTTATAAGAAATTTTCCCCTTGGATCGGTAGCTTTGCGCAGCGGCAGTCTCGTAACCAATGAGGTTTATCCGAGGTGCGATTATTGCTAGTTGAAAACTATTACCAATACCCCGCCGTGGTGGCGCAAACGCGTCGCTTGTGGCAATTTCTGAAGGGTTGTAGGCAACCTGTACTGTTTGCAATTGTGGTTTCATTATTCGATCATCACCGTTGTTATCGCTACGCGAGTTGAGTTATGTCATACCCCTCCCCGTTTTTAGCTGTTTATAAGCTCAACGCGAATCGACAACAACTTCATGACCTTCTCGAAATTAAAACAAAAATTGGTTTTCGTGGGGTACTAAAATCAGTTCCTGTTGTAATCGTCAGTTTTATGGTTGATATTGGGTAATTTATTAAAATAATTCAATTGCGGGAATTTTAATTCACATTATTGCGGCAATTATGAGTGTTATTTGAGTCACCATAAATGCTAGGGTTTATTCATACTTTCATAAGAACATTTTTACTCTCTTCCGCCAGCTTTGCGCAGTGGCAGTATCGTAACCAATGAGGGATGAAATCTCAAGAAGAGTTAAGAACACCCTAGAAGTTAATAAGCAGAGACAATTGACGTGGTTTGGAAAGTTCCAAATTTTGAATGCGCTATGTATATCGCAAGTAATATACCAAGCTAGAGTAGTGAACGTACCACCAACCTACATAAAAAGACTGAATACCCTTTTTCTTCAAATTTATCTGGCACCCAGAAAGCTTTCAATTAATGGCACAAAACAAATTGACAGCAGATTACGACAATGGAGGACTAAAAGCCCCATGCATAAAAACTAAAATACAGGCATGTATACTGGAAAAAATAAAATCACTGAAAGCAATGAAAGAACCAAAGAGATATGGCACGCAATAGCCCTGTATGACCTTGGCACTAAGATAAGGAAAATAAACCCAAATCTCTACACCAACCAGATGCCCCATGCCCTTAAAACACCTAAGCACTGGAATGATTGCATTCAGCTGGCCAAAAAAATAGGCATAAAAGAAGAAGAATGGACAGACATCTCTTTCAAAAACATCTATCATATAATCTTGGGAACGAATCAATCTGAAAGAAAAAAAACAGGAAGAATCACAATCCAACACCAATTGGAAAGAGATCCTAAGTAAAGAAAAAGACACCAAAGAAATAATAACAAACAAGGAAAGAGTGATATCATACAGGCTAGCGCACAATGCAATACTAAATGGAACGCAAAGAAAAAGAATGAATATATATCGTCAGTAAGCGGGGAATTAGCTATCACGGAGTGTAAATTCTGCTCGAAATCGGAAGACAACACGGAACACCTCATCAATGAATGTCCTTTCACATGGCGGATTTTGTACAAAATACAAAAAGCCCTGAATCAGGCTCTGCAGACACACCACCCCTTTTATAATGAGCTAATCTGGCACAATATATACACGGATAATAACCGAAAAATAATATTAATAACAGTCAATAAAGTAAAAACTCAAATTTACAAGATCAAATTAATTAAAGACATGACAAACACAAAAATGAATCCAGAAGAAAGTAAAAGGATAGAAGATAGCATAATTGCGAAAACTTTTGATAAAATGATCTGGAGAGTAAAAAACATGGAATCACTCAGTGAAGAAACAAAACAGATAGAAAAAATTGAAAATTGGTTGAACCAACAAAGTATTATTCCAAACTAAACAAACTAATTAAAAAAAATGGTTAATTTACTGATTTTATGCCGATAATCGAAGAACCATCTAAAACGGAAATGACGAAATAGGAGCCTATCAATGAGAACGGCAATTAATATCTATCGCCATTATGTGGTAAGGTCAATAACTGACCAAGCTTCTAATGAGATACAGGAAATGACGGTATAATCCCGATTCCGTGTATCATGATCTGATCCGAAAAATTAAAAAAAAAATAAAAAAAAAATAAAAAAAAATGAGGAAAAAAACAATGACAATTATCCGAGGTTTCCTCGTTTCTCACTTTACCAACGGTTTCCGGTGGGCCTGAGGAAATTGTGGATTACAGTTATCCCAATCTAATGCAATTGAATATGACTTTGCGAACCAGTGAGAAGGGTCACGGACGTATGGATAATTGGAATATTTGATAAATCGTTTGCGTGTTGGAATATTTACTATGGCTAATAACCTACTGACAAATCACCAAAAAGACTTCTCGCTTATAGAATATTTTATTCAAAAATTCGACTTGCCCGACAATTTCTTCTCACAATTGTACATTTGCAACAAAATCAAAATTACAACTCAATGTTACTTTCGCAAAGTTTCGAAGTCACGACGAAGGGAATTTATGCCACGGCATACGATTTATTTCGTTGTTTATTCATTTTTTGTTCCAAGCTTAACCGGTGCAAAAATTCCCGTATGAATACAATTATATATCAGAATTGGGATCAACAAAAATACTTTGTTGACATAAATCAATGTTTGTCTCTTTTCATATACATAAGCAGAGCTTTTAGTGATATTAGCAAAATAGGAGAATGGTTTAATTTGATTATTTGCAAATGTATTTAGGAACCAATCTATCACACTTGCACTCCAAGCCATTGATTGACACACAATCACACCTGCTTTGTCTCACTTTGATCAACTTTGTTCTGTAACCGCGACCGCAACATAGATGCTCACAACTTCTGGGTCCAGTTCCGGTTACGTTACATTCTCTAGAACAGTGGTTCTCAACCTTTTACTGACTGCGTACCACTTTACGGTTTTTTACTATGGCCGCGTACCACCGACCAAGCTCCTTTTTTGGCGTGAGGAAAAATACACAAGAAACATGCTATGGGAGTATTTTATAATGTGGCACTACATCCCTTGTGGCGTAACACGCGAAACGAAAAAAACATGCAATATAGCAGAAAACCTTTTTATATTTCTACATGGAAAGAACATGGCATTTCTGAATTGAGACATTTAATTTCCCATAATACTTTCTATACTTATTTTGAGCTACTTGATGAATATAGCATGCAATATAATGTTGATGATTATAGAACTTATTACAAAATCATAGGTAGTATTCCTGAGGAATGGAATGACATTGTGCAATCATATGTTGAAATTTGTGACTTTGATTTTAGTGAATTTCTTTCAACCGCCACTGAAAATTATTCGTGCAAAAATACCTATAAAATAATAATAATGAAACAGTTTGTCTCTCCAAACATGTACAAGTCCTTTTGGCAAGAATCTTTCAATATTTCTAGTGTACAGTGGAATAAATATTTCATAAATTCATATTCATCAACTATTGAGACAAAGCTGAGATCTTTTCAAATGAAGCTGTTTTATAAAGCTATAACGCTGAATAATGTTTTATATGGATTTGGGATAGTAGAATCAAACTTGTGTGAATTTTGTAAATTACATATCGAAACCCTTTTGCATTTATTTTATTATTGTGAGATAACTAGTAAATTTTGGTCCGAGATAGACCAGTGGATTGTTTTTAAGACAGATAACTTGAATTTTGATCTTTCCATCAATTTATTCGTGATATTCGTGACAACGAGAAATATATAGCAATCAAAAATAGTAAAATCCTGATACACAAAAGAAAGTGGCATTTATTCATATAATAGTCGATCAAGTGACTTTTTGCTATTTAATTACATATTATTGTTTTTCTTTCCTTAAATACATAAAATGGGATATGTTGCTGTTTTCTTATAACATTATTAGACTACAATTGCAAACATTGTGAGAAATTACCTTTTATAACTGTATTGCTGAATTAAAAATTGTTATTTCAATATTATTCTATTTGCTATATGATTGCCCTTATATGGTATATACCTAAAATGTGAGATTTTTTTTGCTAAATGATTGCCTCTGTATGGTATATACATATAATGTCAGATTTTCTCAGTTTTCTAATAACATAATTAGATTGCGAATGCAAACATTGTGATACTCTTCATGACTGTATTACTGATATTGTTTATTTCAATATAATTTTATTTAGTAATTGATTGTATAGTATATAGATAAAATGTGAAATTTCTCCAATCTTCTGTTTACTCATACCATACTATTAGATTACAATTTCAAACAGTGTGAAATATTACTTTTTATGAATGTATTATTTATCTTCTAATATTGATTAATTCAATATTATTTTATTTTATGAAAATCTAATAAAAAAAAAAAAAGAAAAAAAAAAAAAAAAACATGCCCATATTGCTTCATTTAAGGTGGGCAATAGCGGGCGAGAGCGATCTCTAAAGTAAAGGACTGGTAGCGTGTCGGCGCTATGAACGTTTCCCCGAACATTGATCCCGGAAAAAGTTATCCCTATACTTTACTATAGCAAACTTTATACTTATTTATTCTAAGAGTGTTTTGATGTGTTGGCGCATATAAACTGGTTTACGTGTTTGAAACCATCATTTGTATTGAAATTATTCAACCATGTGCCGTTTGCAGGTACTGATATATATAGCTAAGTTTAGCCTTGTTTATCGCAGCATTTGCGAGATTCATTTTCAATTACTGCAACTAAATTAAAGCTCCGCGGAAGACATAATGACAATTAAGTTAATTTATTCACAATTATTTTCTTGAAACACAACTGAAAACTGACAAATATCACTCAAAACTACAAAAACGAGGCAATGTTTGCAACCATGCTTGAATATCTGTTTGGGCGACAGAATTGTCTGAGCGACTGGTTGCAGAAATTGCAATTGTTACCTGTTGCGTCATTATTGACTTATTGCTGATTGGTTATAGTTACGGAAATAAACAAGGAAACTGAAGCTTGGGAAAACATCCATAAACGCTCAGCGAATACATACAGTAAGGAAGATAAATGGTTGCAATAATTCAAATCAGCTCGCGTACCACTTGAAAGCTCCCGCGTACCACTAGTGGTACGCGTACCACAGGTTGGGAACCACTGCTCTAGAACGTGTCCCGACAACACCAGCTTCTAGATTTTCAATACAATAATCAGGAGATGCTGAGAGATACACAAGTTGGGAATTGTTGAGTGATATTTCTACCTCCCCGTGAAAAATTTCACGACCGGAAACTCGAATTTGAATCGCTTCTTCGTAGGCATGTCGTAATTCATCAGCAACCACGCGGAAATCTCTATTTTGCATCCAACAAGATTTTAAGCCATTGCCTTTTCCATAATACCTGCACATTCGTTTTGATGTCTTCACCACTGTCTGTACAGAAAAATGAAGTGTTGTTCATCACATTTATATTTAATAAGTTCAAAGAATGAAATATTATCTTGTTAAAATTTGATAAAAATTAAGTAATTCAGTATTTATATGAAAAACATTTCAGAAGATCAGAGTTCTGTTTAAAATTCGTTACAATTAACTTTTAATTTTCAAAATCCTATTGAATAAAAAGAGTAAAGAGCGTCTCACCAGTCTTCCTACTTTATTGTTATGAGCAAACATCAATTGCTTTGGGTCAAGTTCTCGCATCTTTCTTTTTCCGTCGAGAAAATATTTTACCAAATTGCTCACAAATCCGCTATATGAAGCGTATGTAGTCTACAAAAAATAAAATTTATAATAAGCTTATATAATTTCCAAAGTACAATAAGTGCAATTAGACTTGTGAAGATAAACACAATACCTTGGGGTACATTTTTCTTTTGAGTCGAATGAAATGTAAATTTTAACAAAAGTTAAATATGATTTCAGGACGACTATAATATTCATTTTGAAGGGAAATTTTCAATAATCAATCGAGAACCTTGTTTTACCGAATATGCAACATTAGGGTGTAGCAATCAATTGTACCCAGCATTCGAAATTAAATGCTATGGAAGTATTTTTATTTTTAACGTAATAATCATAATCGATCACAATTGATATGATCCGTTTTCAAAAGGTTTGCAGTTTTTTAAATTGATAACAATTTGTCATATCATCCTCAAATATCTTACCAAATTTCCAGTGTAATTTGCAATTTCCGAATGCGGACAAAATTTGTTGTAAGGAAGAAGAAAGTCCTCACATGCCCTTGAAATAGAATGCACAACGCCAGCAGCAGTTATTGCTTGGGCGAATGCCATTTCTCTTGAACCTAAATAGAATGTTACTAAATTTCATTGTGACAAGTGAATCACGTAAATGTTTCAGAGATCCACACACTACAAATCCAAAACTCTGCTGATATTTAATAGATATGATCTGGTGGTGACTATGGTTTCTAACGATGAACAATAACTCATTTAATTCTGAAGATATTAATAAGATGATGAGCCTTTGAGTACGATGATACATGATTTGCAGCAAACATTGAAAGCACCGTCTACTGTTCGAGCAAAATGCATTCAGCATTGATTATTGAAAAAGCAATACGACGAGTTACCAGGATCTAACACGCAATCAAACCTTAAGATTTTAAATAAGGAAAAGCAAAAAAGGGGGAAAATATTTTACCCAAATCTGCAAATGTTCCAAAAATTGCTTTGTCCTTCACTGACGGACACTTCCAGCGATTGTTACGGAATTGATATTGACATTCAGAAATTCCGTTTCTCGCTCCCTCGCTTACATATTTCATGAGGGGTTTTCTTTTTTCGCACCATTTTTTTTGATAGTTGGTAAATCTATCCATTAGATGACAATTTGGAACATCACTTTTCAGCATATCGTAAACAGAATCTTGAGCCACAGACCTGTACAAAGCAATGTATTATTGAAAAATTAGAAATCGAACAAAATGACATTAAAAATCGGATGTATTCCGTCGTATGGAGTTTATTTCCAATCACATAGAATTTAGAAGGAATTATAATTACTTCGAATAAGATCTTGCATTGTCAATAATAGGATTCATTATCCAAAATTTAAAACAAAGGAAGAAACGCTCTATTTTTTTGTTATTATTGGACATGTTTAGTGGACATACGATCATTTCAATATTTTGTTGTTGTTCTTGTTAATTTTCGTCTTCATCATTTTAAAATCGCTTTTCTATTCGAATACTGGACCAATTGCTTTGAAATTTTCAGTGAGTAAAGATTATATTTTTCGTTAGAAGGCTATTACTTTTATTTATCGTTTTTGTGTGCTATGACGCCAACAAAATTTGTCAATATGTGGCGCAACGTGTACATATATTTGAGCTCTGCTCTCTTGTTTGATATGTTATTAGACCCACAGAGTAGAGTGCGACATGCATGTTTCCCAACCAGGCAGGAAGAACTCCTCATTTGCCATTGTTGTGGAGGAATTGTGTTTTGTATTTGCTGTGGTATCATTGGTTTTCTTCAGTTCATAATTAATACAATATTTATGCCCACATTATAAACTACTTGAATTTTACAAAGGCAACTTGCGTACAACCCTAGCTTAATACCCATTAATAATTGGATAAATGAATATTTTTATGTAGTGTGAGGGAGAAATAATAATTTAAAAGCAGGAGAAATTTGACAATAAAGGTTGGAAAGCACTGCGGTAATGCTATCCAAAATGAATAAATGTTTAATTATATATATATCATTTAGTATTAAATAGATTTTTGTCGGCGGTATTTTCAAATATAATACAGTTATTTGTCCATGAAAAAAAGCTTACCACCAACGGTCGTACACTCCGCTGCTCAAAATCAGGGGGAAGATGAGAACACATAGCAAGAAAAAATAATTTTTGTTGGAATTTCCCATCGTTTTTCGACCACCCTATCTCCTTAAGAAAAATCCTATAATTTGGTGAGAATAGCACAAGATCGAATATCATAATTTTTATGTTTTATATAGCAAATACGTTTTTAGTGAAGATAACATAATTCCATTGTTTAGCACTGAGCATTTGTAGTTGCATGCAGTGTCGAGTTCTCAATTTCGAATAAAATTTTAGGATGGGTTTGGGAAGAAGTTTAAAACCAGTAAATGAACTATTTGTTTAAAACATTATTCTGGTCATCAGTTGACAATAAACCTCGAGAGTTTCGTCGCGGATAGTCCGATATCCTCCTTATCTGTCGTTAAAGCATTAGAAGTTTAACCGAAACGATTTATCTACCCATTGTTACACATCTCATTTATTTGCCTATGTGAAGTACGAACTCTCCTTTGATTGGGATACCTATAACATTTTCTAAGCTCTTGCTTTGCTAAGGCTGACCGAGACCTTCAAAATCACTATATGTTTTTATCCAGAAGATTTAATCCATATGTTCATTCTATTCCTATATGCCGATCACTCATGTTAATCATCAATATACTGCGATTTTCCTATACCTTCCCTTCTACTTCCATCAATACCTATCTTTAGAAAAACCTGCTCATAATGTATAAATTCTCCTGAGTGTTGTTATTAATGTTGCTAATATTTGAATGATGTTATTTATCTACTGTAACTACATTAATATCTGGTGTTTAAGGATATGTAATACTACCCAATCTTTTTTTCACGAATATATCTAGCAATTTGTATGAGATATGGAAATATGCCACAATCATATTTTTGCAGCAATCACGTAACTCGACTTCGATTATTTCCGCAAAGAGATTTATTTTTCTGCTGAGCTTTTAAGCATACTCGTTTCAGGTTCACTCAATAAAAATATTATATGTTAGGAAGTCGATCTAAAAATTATCACGTCAATTGTATATGTCCCAAACATAGTGATGCAAAATAGGTATTGCTTTTTTACTTTCATTTTTCCAATTATTGGCGATATTGCTTCCTGTATCCTTTTATAATTTTATTCTGCAAATATTATATAATTTTCGACATTGTTGGAAATAATGGTGCTGAGTCATTGAAACAAGGGAATTTTCAACGGAAAAGTTTTGTTTGCAAAATTTCTAGTCGCGTTTTATTTCTAATATAAATTTGAAATCTGTAACAAGATTCCGTTCTTTTGTATAAAATTGGGTTTATTGTGTAAACCCAATATAAATTGACTTTTCGTTGTTATTCTACAAAAAATAAAACAATTTAATTCTGACCTAAAAGGTAAAGATTACGGTAACAAAGGTCACATTCCAAAATAACCCAATTATCCAGATTTTCAAGGATTTATTATTTTATGGCTATTTAAAGTGGCACGTGTTTTAACTAGTGCTCCTTTCCTTCTGTCTTTGCGTTAGTTGATCCATATGCAGTGAATATGGCAAGAGTGAAAACGTCTATATTAAATAGTTCATTTCAATTTCCCAAATTTTCATTCGTATTGCTTCGTCTGGCCTAAATCATACTTCCCCAGACAAGAAATTTAAAACAGTTATGTTGGAAACATATAAGAAAATGTATACTATAATATTTCCATTTTTATGAGTTATGTTACTTTGCTTGAAAATGCAATGATGCACTGACGACTCAGTGATGCACAGACAATTTGTACTTTGACGATATACTAATCAATCAATCGATCATCGTTTATTCGTCAACACAATTAATATAAATATATCACGGAAATATGGCAAGATATAAAGTAAATGAAAAAAGACGAACTTCATATCTGTGACAAGAGTCGCGAGGGACCACGAAAGGTCTTCGAGCAGCGACACTGCTGGTTCAGCTTAATATATAAAATTAGTTAACGCCTATGCTTTTAATTATTATTATTTATAAAACATAAAAAACGAGACACCAAAACAATTGAATAATATGTGTATATAATAAATTTAAAAAACATGAAAACCATCAAAGAGCTAAAGAACTAAAAGAAAACTTTTCCACTGCATTGACTTTGATCAGAACTGAACAAATATAGCACTCAGTTCAATTAATTTCAGGTCTGTAACCGACAAACTCGAACGGTATTTTATTGCTGAAGCAAAAAGATAAAATATCTCAAATACTCCAGGGGACTGTGAAACTGTGAATACGGCCACGGCGTTTATCTATTAGTAAAATAAAAAACATGAGTACTGTATAACGTACATTCGTTCATTTCCAATTCAAGCTTGTATTCAACGGAGTCGTAAACAACGGCCAAACGTATAGCTTTCCTTCATAACTTAGGATTTTTCTGATTGCAGCTATATTGCTTCCTGAATACCTGTGTTTACCCAGAAACAATCTTGTATTAAAATTTTGCCCTTTTCAAAAATATAAAACATAAAAACACGGAGATTTCCAACGGTAGTTGTTGACATGTGATAGCCATTGATTTTCTCAATGGAATTATTTGAAAAAACAAGAACAAGATTAACAACAACAATATAATAATAACAAAACGATCCATATGTAACTTTCTGTACAAAAATGAAACAACAAATTATCAGTGTGAAAATCAAACGGTAGGCTAATCTGGGATTAAATTACTGACTGATATTAACCCAACTTGCGAGAGTACAGCAAAGTTTGAGAATCAAGTTCAGCAGTAATACAACCAAATTAAATTTGTTTCCAATCCTATATTTTTATTTTTCGAGACGGAATAAGACAAACTATAATTGCAGACACAAGTAACCTCTTTTGGCGTTTGTGGTTTAATTGATATTCATAAAAATTGTTGGCAGTCCCACGACTCCCACATGACTTTCGTCTTTTGCTTTAGAAGTAATGCAGGCATTTGTTGGTAACAATTTCGGAATTTGGAAAAGTGTTTTAAATCTTCATTTACCGCATGATTTTTTTTTTAATTATTATACGGATTGATTATTTGAATATTTTCGTTCCAAGTTGAATTAAGCTATTGAATAATGCCAACATTGGAATGCGGATATAATTGTAGGCCGAATTGGGCAATTTCGTAAGTAGGTGTTGTACATTGAACATTTAAAACAAGTTTTCATTATTTGCCTTTAATTTATATTTACGATTTGGTGTAATTGTCAAGAATATGACTAAGCAGCCATTTTGGGGACAAATATAAAATCATTCTTAGCAAACTCGTCCGACACAGACCGCAATTCTACATTGCGACACAGGCGTCGCACATAGGATACAAATTTAAAAAGATTGCCGGGATTGCGGTATTGCTGTAGAAAAATAAGTTGTATTTAGACTAGAATAATAATTTTATATAAAGTAGATCATGCTTGGGGATAAATTTTATATTAATTTAATTACTTGGTTTTTATCTTAGAAACAAGGTCGTTCTAGACTGTTACAATCGCTTCTGACACGACTGATAGTGCTCGGTCCTGATGTCAGTTTTAGGGTCGACTGAATTTATTCTGGTTTACTCTGTCTCAAATAATAACAGTTCATATATCTCTAAACCAGTATATATTAAATTTTGATGTTCTTTTTTTGATCGCATAATTGCTTTATGCTTAAATCAATTAGAAGCGAAATAAGCGTATTTATTTACCTCCTATTTACCATTTGAATCAGGTAGTAATTTTTTTCATGTGAGCACAATGCCGAGTTTCTATTCAGCTTGTGTTGTTCTCATTCCTGTACTTCTATCCACAATGGTTTTGAGCAGAAACGTGCATGACCGTTGGTGGTAAGATTTTTCTTTCTGTAAATTTAAGAACCATTGCACTTAACTAGTTGCAGTGTACGTAATTAGTTGTTATGGTTTATTGGCGATGCAAAACAAAAACCGTCTTCTTTTAACCTATTCGTCACTGCTGGAGAGAAGAGCTTATACGACAATGTAAAGACATGATGACTATTTAGCTAATGTCAAATCGTATTTCACCTGCATGACTATGAGCAAATATTATTTCGGACTACAAAAGTTAACAAATAGTTTTTTTTCGATCCATGGTTTTAATTGATAATTTTTTATTCAAGAAAAATTTCTTCAAACGACAAAACATATATAATTTATGGATATAATAAGTACAACTTACTTTATAAACACTTTTTTACAAAATAATTTTCAGGTCCGTCGCACAAGATTCCATTCGCGATATGGTACAGAGAAATAGATCTATTTGTCAAAAAGTAGAAGGA